AGGGCACATCATGTGACATTGTGCTACCCACTCAGTAATCATGGCAAGGAAGGAAGCAGGCAGTGGTAAGGTGACTTTATAATACCAAATCACAGCATCAAAATAACAGTTTTTAGAAGAAAGAGAAAAATGGTTAAAATTCTGCTAACAAAACCAAAAAAGCAAATGATGCTGATGCAGACGGGATGGATGGCTATCTTAACAGCAACCTATATTACATTCTATTGTGTATAAAATAAAAAGGAAAGAGTTGCCAAGCTTGTATTTTTAAGATTACTTAAAAGACAAAACACTATCGGGAAAAAAAAAATCTGTTCCTCTTCAAATTCTTCCCCTCACCATCGCCATCTCCACCCTAAAATTAAAAACCAAGCCAGTAAGAACCAGGGATAAGAAATGTAAATATCTGCTGTTAAAGCCATGACCGTACTAATGTTACAATACAGGCGATCTACAGAATGGTAAGAGCTGCTCGGTAAGTCCCATCCTTTCAATCAAACTATGGGACAGGACTCAGTGTCTGGCCAGCAATGTTCAGTGTGGAACCCAACACCTGCTCATGCTTATCTTCTTTGCTCAGGAATCTTTGGCACCTAGGAATTGGGACCTAGGAAATGTACTACATATTTGCATTGGGATTCTCTGCTATTACATATTTACACTGGGACTCTCTGTATTACATATTTACATTAAGACTATTATATATTTACACTGAGACTCTGTTATATATTTACATTGGGACTCTCTGCTATCACATATTTACACTGGGACTCTGTATTATAAATTTACATTGGGACTCTATTATATATTTATATCAGGACTCTCTGTGTTACATATTTTACACTGAGACACCCTGTATTACATATTTATACTGGAACTCTATATTACATATTTACATTGGTATTCTCTGTATTACATATTTACATTGGACTCTGTTATATATTTAGTAACTTTCCATTCTATACTTATAAAGTTCTTAAACATAGGAACAAGTGCTAATCAACATGCTAGAAATAACAGATGATTAAATAAAATCACATTTTGATGTGAGATATAGTTCTATTAACAGACATTTGTGAACTTAATGTTCAAATTAAGAAAACAGGAACAGTATTATAAATTTAAAAGCAAAAATAGGAGATTACACCCAGCTATCCAGGCTTCCAGCACTTCTGTGTATGAAACATTAACAAAGTGGTTGTTTTAAGCACACATGAGTCTGGGGTTCCCTGAATTTTCATCTGCCATTTTTTCTATTCTTCAGCTAACAGATTCCTCTCCTTTTAGCTGCTGCATTTCTTGTGTCCTAAAACAAACAGGAAGTGATGACTCACTGGCTAAGGGAACTCAGGCTGAGATAAAATATATGTAACTTTGCCCCAGGGGTTGCTTCATAAGGACACAGGGAGACTGGTGGCAAAGGACTCTTCCTCATCAAATAGAACTACTTTCTAGTGGTCTCCCCGTGGGCTCTTTCTCTCTTGCTCAGACTATCCATTCACAATCATATGGGGTTCCTTCTATGCCCCTTCAGTGTGCACCTACATTTTGTCAATGTATTGCTAAGCCTATTGAAAGGGTTTAACACAGATCGAGGGAGTACTTAGATCTGACGAAGTAATTAAAAAACCAAGCCAATGGAAGAGTCAAGAATACAACACGGAAGTTTCTATTCCCCGTCTTCTGGTTTTTGTTTGTTTTGGGGTGCTGTTGACCAAGCCCATGTTGGATGAGCACTAGCAGCTACACTCGTAACTCCTATCCCACATTTCAATATTCTCTCAAACTATAAAACAAACTACAGACTAAATATTTAGAAGAAAAGGTTTTGAGATAGGGTTTTACTATGAAGTCCTGGCTGGCCTGGAACTCACCATATAGACCAGGCTGTCCTGCCTCTACCTTTCAAAGTGTTCTCTGCTTCCTATGGGATTGAAAGCATTTAAAACTATTCATGACTAAGGAAATTTTTAAAATTTTACATATATTTACTTTGTATGTGCATGAATGTGTGTCATGATGGTCATATCAGGGTCAGGGGGCAACTTGTGGGCCCTGGTTCTTTTTCTGTTATGTCAGTTCTGGGGCTGAACTTCAGGTCTTCTGGCTTGGTGGCAAGCGTCTTTACTCACGGAATTATCTCACGAGCTCAGAAATTTTCCTAACTCTGACATTAGCTCACTAAACTATTAGGACTAGCATTACCTCAGTCTTAGATATGCACTGTCGCTGTGTCTGAATAGTGTACAGGTAAGCTCCGAGCAGCACTGACAGCTCCCAGGTGTTCCTAATAACTGCAACTGGTTTTGGTTACTCTCTTTTCAAGGCTGCCTTTTCAGGAATTCCACACCATGTAAACACCCGAGAACATTGTTCTGATTCATTTTTCCCTGCATGTATATGTGGTTTTGGTTTCTTGGGAGCTCATGGAATAGCAAGATGAACACTAGTGGCACATCACAAGTCTCTTCAAACCTAGGAGCCCTAACTCACCCAATTTGTCAACCTATCTGCAAATGGTATGTTCTACAGGCTTCAAGAACATGAGGACACCCTTAAATGCACAAGCTTAAAGGATCTTGTGACCTATAACAAACTAAAAGATGGTCATTAATGGCTTTCCTGTTCAATAACAGCACTGCTTCTGCAAAGTAGACTGTGACATACGGAAGAAGTCCTGAGTCTGTCAAAACAAAGCTACAGCTCTAAATGTTACCATTAAAAGCCTTCTTACAGAGTTTCAGGAAAATGTATATATATGCATATAGTTTGTTTGTTTTTCTGAGACAAAGTCTCATAGTCCAGGAGAATCTCAAGTCACTTCGGATAACCTTTAACTTCTGATCCTTCTCCTCTGCCTCCCAAGTTCTGGGATCACAGATCTGGTTCATGTGGAACTAGCGCCTTGTGCCAGCACACTACCAAATGAGCTACTGTCTCTCCCCAGCCTTCCATATTTTAAATTTACCCAATTTTCTTTAATAATGAATTTATTTTATCATGAATTAAAATGTAGTCAATTGCATTTGTAATGGGGAATAACAAAACTGATCAATTATGCAGAGATGACCTCACTAGGGATACAAGGCCACATGCATGCTGAGACTCAGTGACTGTCAGTTCAGTCTTGTGCCCTTAAGAGAAAGCATTCAAATGGGTGTTGACACCTACAAGATTTCCAAATAAAATCTAAGCATCGCTGTGGTGGGTAGGGGTTGGAGCTGACAATGAATATTTGTGAAAATAGGACAACATTCAGGGAACATTCAAAGACAGTAAACTGGAAGAAAATAGAAAGGAAGAAGCCAAAGGCAAACACAGCTGGGGCAGCCAGCTACTACATGTCCCATGGCATGGGTCAACTAAATATGGCTGGATGATGAACATAACACAGCTACTATTTGTCCTGGATGCTGTGTATTCTAATCATTAAAAGTTCAAATAAGAGATGGAGTACCAAAAACTAACATTTAGAACATAAATAATTGGATATGGTGTTACAAGCCTTTAATCCTAGCACTGGGGAGGTAGAGGCAGGCAGATCTCTGTGAGTCTGAGGCCATCCTGGTCTACAGAGTGAATTCCAGTCAGCTAGAGCTATATAGTGAGACCCTGCCTCAAAAAGCCAACAACATATGTAAATAAAATAAAATAAAACAGACCTGTTTCTAGAGTTTAAACATTATAAAAGTTTTAATTTTCACAAGACTTTCCAATAGCAACTAAATTTAAGCACTAAGGAAAAGACAAAACAACATTCTATAAATAGTATAAAAGTTTACCTCTTGTTTCTCTTGATTTGGGTCCACAGTAAGTAAAGTTGGTATTTTAGGTGAATCTGTTTTCTTTGACTCTCTCTTCAGCACTTTTATCTGCTTAACTTTTGCAAAAAAAAAAAAAAAAAAAAAAAAAAAAAAAAAAAAAAAAGAAAAGAAGAAAAAGGGAAAAAAAGGAGAAAAAGAAAAAAAAAGGAGAAAGAAAGAAAAGGAGGGAAAAAAAGTAATTTGTTGGCCCACCCACCCACCTAGAAACTATCCTTTAGAGGAGTTCAGGTTGGTATGCTAACAGCCAGTAAGCCCACTTTTGAAATTAGCTGCAAAGGAACTGAGTAACTGGTACCTGTAAGTTGTAAAATATGGTACCCTTTATTTTATGATCCCACAAAGCATGTCTGTTATTTTTACTGAGTGGCCCTCATGAGGCACACATTCTATACCTTGTTACTGCATCACATTTTTACAAGGTCTCTGTTTTCCAAGGAAAGGAAAGAACATTTGCTCACATCAATGCATTTCACTTTAAGATAAATATCTGTTTAATTATTACATTCTATTTATCATTTGTTTATTGGGATGGGGCCAGTCCTCTCCTTCTACAATGTGAATCCCATGGTCAGACTCAGGTCATGAAGGCTTAGCATCAAATGCTTTTACTTGCTGAGCTGCCTCACCAGCCCTTAAATTAAATCTTAAGGTTACGATAAATTTCAAATTTATAAAATCTGCCAAATCCCAGCATGCCCAAAGCATCTATAACACTTTTGGGCAAACAATCAGGGAAGGTGCTTTTCCACAGCTTATACACTGAACCAAATTCACCTTCCTCAAATTCTGCCCCAGCATCTCAACATCAAGCTAATAAAATGTTTACCCTTTGGAGCTGTCTTTACCTTTCTTGAAAATTATCTCTATTAAGCTAGGCAGTCTCAGCACTCTAGAGGCAGAGGCAGGGGACTCTCTGTGAGTTCAAGGCCAGCTTGGTCTACAAAGTGAGTTCCAGGACAGAAGAGATACATAATGAGACTGTCTAAAACAAAACAAAACAAAAGTCTGACCTTTTACTTAACTATAAAAGAAAGAAGTTTTATCAATGGAACTTACTTTTTCAAAGCAATTTACTGCTTTCTACAACGATCACATGCAAGGTACCTTACAAGAAGCCCCATCCCTTACTCACGTCACCTGCAGAGCATTGGGAAGTACACACCACGAGGTACCCACCTTCCATTCCTTTCATTTCCTTCGCCTGTATTGTGAATGGCAGTTCAGGGAAATGGAATTCTTTCCTGTCGCATCTGGAAAAATTCAGCTTTCTTTTGTTTCCACTCGCCATTTGATCACTCTGGCCTGTTCGATCATTAAATACGCTTTTCTCTGTTTGGCTCTAGACAAACAAGTACCAGTTAGCATGAAGAACCATGTAAAACTAACTATAGAATCACAAACCTAGAAGTGCTGGCTATTTGGGTAATGGAAAACAGTTCTAGCGATTATCTTAACAATTAAGAAATAGAACAGAACCAAGCAAGGTAGACACTCCTATAGTCCCCACACTTGGAAGACAGGAAGAAGGATCCCAAGGCCAGCCTAGGATACGTAGTGAGACCCTGTTTCAAAGAAAATAGAAGCAAAAACAAACACACAAACCAAAAGAACAGAGCACCACTACACACAAGCAGACCAGACTCCCTGGGAAGATTCCCAAGCAGGGTTTTCCGTCCTTACTATTCTTGATTTTGAGAACCACCACCTTTTTGTTTTGTTTGTTTTTTATTTTGTTTTTGAGACAGGTTTGATTTCTTTGTGTAACCCTGGCTGTCCTATAGAACACGCTGGCCTTGAACTCATAGAGATCCTCCTACTTCTGCATCCCCAATGCTGGGATTACAGGTTTGTGCCACCACTGCCTTGGAAAACTTGTAACTTTTAATATTATTTACTTTATCCTGACTTTGGACAATTGCTTCAGCTAATTTTATCAATAACAAATTTTTCTATTTATAAAATGGTATACTTTATGGACCCCGGGACACTCCAGTAGAAAAAGAAATGTGTGTACATCTACCATCCAGAAAACCTTTTATGTTACCTATTTTTGGTTACTGGATCATAAAAACTTTTTTCTTTTTTTGAAATAGGATGCATCAAGGCTTGAACTCCTGATTCTTCTAACTCCACCTGATATTACAGGTGTGCACCTGGCTCAGGTAAAGCTAGGGATGAAGCTCAGGACCCTGCCTGCTGAGATACCTTCATAGCTTTCTAAAGTCTTTTCTTGGTAGTGGTAAGATGATGGGTCAGTGGGTACAGATGCTTGCTATCAAACCTGATGATTTGAGTTCCATCCTTAGGAGCAACCAAGTAGAAGGAGAAACTGACTCTCACAGATTGTTCTCTGCTTTCCACATGTCCCCCAAAATAAATAGATGCAGTAAAAAACTTTTCTAAAATAGTGAACACTTTTCCACAGTGTAAGATGCAGCACCATATCACACAAATGTACCCTGGTATACTTCAGAAACTATCAGCTCTTACACAAGTTTGTGTTGTTTTCTGTATTTTATTTATTCTGAGTCAGGGTCTCACTATGTAGCCCTGGCCATCCTGGAACTCGATCTGTAGACCAGAGATCATCCTGCCTCTGCCTTCTGAGTGCTGGGATTAATGTTGTGCACCACCATACCAGATGTTTTCAATTTTATATTATTATAGATAATGCTGTGCCTTGAATGTAATAAACTGAATGTACTGTGTAAAGAAATGATGAGCAAAAACAGAAAGACACAGTTACCATTTCTAGAGCAAAGAAACTACATCTATTTGGCAAGTGTTTTTAATCCATAAAGATAATTTTGGAAGAGAAAAGCACAACTCTTATGAATTGTAAAGATCAAAGTCACATATTAGTATACAAACAAAGATACAGAAGTGGGGGCTGGGGAGGCAGCTCCGTGGTTAAGAGCAGTTATTGGTCTTAACCTGGACTCAGTTCTTAGCACCCATATGGTGGCTCACAGCCATACATAAGTCTAGTTCCAGGGGAACCAACACCCTCTTCTGGTCTTCACAGGCACCATTAGGTATTTACATATAAAATATAAAATAAAACAAATAGATCTAAAAGAAATTAAAAGAAAGATAACGAGACAAACCAAAATCATGAAGCACGAGGGGAAGCATGAGAGAAATCATGGTCTATTTTCAGGAAGAAAAGAGGGGCTGGTGGAGCAATTCTCAGTGGGCACTCATTCAGCACATGCAAAGCCTTAGACTTGTCCCAGCACAGGAAAAGGAAGACAGAAAGAAAGGGAGAGAGAAACTTAGGAGAGAAGGAAGACTTTTAATGTGAGAATGTAAGAGAAAAAAGGCAGGTAAAGAAGTCATATTGTATTAATTTATTCATTCTATGTATGCGTGTACATGTGTGTGAGGGCAAATATGCATGTCTTTCTGGATAGCTCCCCACCTTATTTTTGAAGACAAGGCTATACACCTGCAGTTCACTAATTTGGCTAGACTGGGATGTCAACAAAGCCCTAAGGATCCTCCTGACGCCCCAGTGGTGTTAGGATTACAGGCATCTACTACTGTGCCCAGCTTTTTACACGAGTGCTATGATTCCAAACTCTGGTCTTCAAGCTTGCTCACCTAACGCTTTACTGACTGAGACACTTCCCCAGCCCCAAGAGTCCATATTGTAATGACTAGCATCTTGCCTTACTTGCGTGGGACCTGTGTCCTCTTGTCTGCTATTAGACAAAGTTTGTCCAATAGTTTGTGAAGTAGTACGTCTCTTTTTTGCTCTTTCAGTTAACCTATTAATTAAAAATAAATAAGTTATTAGAACCTCCCAGAATTGCCCTTGCCTTAGCTTTAAAAACAAATAAATTGCTGGGTGGTTGTGATGCACACCTTTAATCCCAGCACTCTGTGAGTTTGAGGCCAGCTTGGTCTACAGAGCTAGTTCCAGGACAGTTAGGGCTGTTGTACAGGGAAACCCTGTCTGGAAAAATAAAGAAAAGAAAAAAACACAAAAACAAAGCACACATACACACAAACAAGTAAGTTATAATAGGTAGATCTGGTTGCAAACACCTATAACCCTGGCACTCAAGTGCCTGGGTTCAGGGATGTTAATTTAAGGACAGCCTGGGCAATATAACCAGAGCCTAGCTTCTGAAAAAGATTTATGCCATGGTACTGTTAGAACACTGAGTGTCAAAAAGTAATTGTCATTCTTCAGTTAGTTCTGAGAATTCTAGGGACAAAACAACTAACACATGGCTCACTGCTGCTGAAAACCATGTCATGAAGTTACTCTTGTGGCCCGTCTGCTCCCTCAGATCTGTCCTAAACTTGGGTCATTTATCATCAGGAGTTCTCAATTGCTGTCTGAGACTGGATTAAACCATGGTTACTGGTAGCATGGCTTGAAGGTCACTTCAAGAACATCTTGAATTACTGTAGCCTATGGCCTAATGAACCTTTGGACAACACAGACATATCCACTAACTTACATCTACAGACCACTCATCCTTAGATTCTGTAGCCTAAATCAGTGTGTTAGAATCTAGTTGAGTTAATGCACCTCACAGCTAAGAGACCTAATTAATGTCGTCACTGATCATTACCAGTCCCCCCATTAAGCAGACTCAGTATCAGTCTCTCAATCTACAACAGAAGCTAAATCTAAAACTGGTCTGATATACCATTTCCTTGCCAAAATAACTTAACACTGAAAGGCTATTTGCTATGAAAGACTGCTTTTAGACTATTCTTCTTCCATTGAGAGATGCTGCTGTGAGGCAGAAATAAAGCTTACTTTGCAGTGCTGAGTGCTATGGTTAGATATGGTTTGGTCTCCAATGGTCCACATACTGGAAGCTTGTTCCCAGTGGGCAGGGTTGAGAGGGGTGGAGCCTGTAAGTGCTGAGGACTCTCAGAAAGGTGATTAAATCTCAAGATGGATTGGTGACTGTTCTCCTTAGAAGGCATTCTTGCACTTGAAGGATGTTCCATAAAAGAGGGTCTTTATAAGGATCCTGGTATCTCCCTTGAACTCTCTCCCTTGTCTGCATATATGTCATTCCTACATGTGATCAGTTTTCTGCCTCCTTCTCTGCTATGCTGTGACACAGCCAATGAGCCCTTGCCAGAGCAGTGGGCACCATGCTGCTGGACTCTGCAGCCACTATGTCCATGAGCCAAACAAATCTCTTTTCTTTATAAAGAATCCTATGTCTCAGTTATTTTGTCATGGCAATACTAAGTGGAATAACACATCAAGGACATGGATGCCAAAACTTAAGTCAAATCACCCCTTTTCTCTTAAAATAGAAATTATTTCTTTCAAAAGGATATTCCAGGGCTAGATAAATGGCTCAGCAGTTGAGCGCCCTGGTTGTTCTTCCAGAGGACCTAGGTTCAATTCCCAGCACCCACATGGCAGCTCACTGCTATCTGTAATTCCAGTTCTAGGGGACCTGATACCCTCATACACACATACATGCAGGTAAAACACCAATGCATGTAAAATAAAAACAAATTCAATCATTAAAAAAATATTCCAGGCTTAGCAGTTAAGAATGGCATTGTCCATGCAGAGGACATGGGTTCAGTTCCCAGTACCCACACTGGGTGACTCACAAGGACTTATAACTGCAGCTCCAGGGGATCTGATGCCCTGTGGCCTGCATAGACAATGAATGAATGTGGTGCACATAAATGTACTCAGGGACACATACAGACATAAAATAAATATTTTTAAAGCTATCCCAAAGATACCAGTGAACAATTAGACAGCTAAATTTGTTGTGGTGGTACACATCTGTAATTCAGTCACCAAGCACTGAGGAGCCTGAGGCTGGCAGATTAAGTGTAGGAGGCCAGCTTGGGTCACAAAGCCAAGCTCCAGGCTAGTCTGGGCTCTATGGTAATTTGTCTCAAAAAAACAAAACAAAACAAAAAACAAAATACCTACATAGCTAAGAAAAGACTTCTCATATGGCATTCCCAAAAACTACTCAATGAATGCTCTGCTACATGACTGTAATTTCAACAGATGTTTTTCAAATTCGGTCTACATTGACACTATAGAAGTAACTCTTTGAAATGCCATCATACAGGAAATTGTTTTACTTAGGCCTCCTCTCTGCCCCAGCTCACCGTGAATTGGGGTGGGAGAGGTTTGAATTGAGATTTGCAGCCATCAGATTACTGCTTGTCAGGTTGATAGGCGGCATTATCATACAACCTCCAGCATGCAGGTCTTCGCTGGCACCATCAGAGTTCGTGCTGGGATTGACCGGGTTTAGCACTTCAGTGATGGCAGGCTTTCTATCCTGAGATAAGGCGTGTGTGTCATCAGCTGTGCCCTGCTGGCGGTGTTCGCCTTCACACTCTGTCTTTTTCAGGTCTGGGACGTCTCCTTTCCCTCCTTTGACTTTAATAACTCTGACTTTGATCTCCTTGGGCTTTTTGTCTTTGTCCATTTCCTGAAATAGGTATGTTGAGAATCTGAGTCATGAGAGACCTAACTGTGATGTAACTGCGCAGGCAGAAACAAAAAGCAAGAACCAGCTCACCTTTCCATAAAGCACTGTATTGGTAAAAATCGGTTTCTTCTCATCTCTCATGGGTTCATTTTCTTTAAAATTCTCTCTTGGCTTTACGAAGGAATTAACCTTTGCTTCTTGTAATAATTTAGCTCTCAGCTCTGGTATGAATCTGATGAATCAAGCAATATTTATCAATCATCTTTTTATTTACATGGTTTATCTTAATAGAACCATTCAATGAAACATAAACAATGCTATAAAATAGCTGATACTAAGAGATAGTACTATTTGATATTTTTTTTGTGTGACAAGATATCACTGTGTAGCCCATGTTAGTGTCAAGCATAAAATCCTCCTGCCCAGCTTCCTGAGTGCTAGGATGACAGGTGTCATCATACCTGGCCAAAATGGTGTAATAGCTTACATAATAATAACTGTGTGCTGGCATCGATCTTTTGGACATTTTGCTATGGAAATCTACCACATAAAACTTATAAAACAGGCCAGGTGGTGGTGGCGCACGCCTTTGATCCCAGCACTTGGGAGGCAAGAAGCAGGCCAATCTCCAAGTTCAAGGTCAACCTGGTCTACAGAGTTAGTTCCAGGACAGCCAGGGTTACACAAAGAAACCTGTCTTGAAAAAAACAAATTACAAATCAGACTTATACTAGATTCCCTTTGAGGTGTGAATTTAATGCAATATCAACTTGAGCTTTGATACAGAAGCTATTTGTATCTCTGGTCTTACACAGAGATCCTTTTTCAGCACTAGTGTTAGGTAGCTCACAACTGCCTGAAACTCCACCTCCAGGGGATCTAGTATTCTTCTAACTAGACAGGCACCACACATGTGCACATACACATAAACAAAGATAAAACAAATGAAGTATGACCTCTGGTCTGAGATGAGGCTACAATTGTAGAATGGGATCTTTGTACATTGCCTACAATCCCATGTCCCTAAAATGAATGCTGCTGCAATTACTTGCATTAAATCTTTCACCCACATCACCTGCTAGACTACCACATCCTGACCAATACCTAGCACAGAAGCTCCATTAGGCTTCTGTTAAGTTGAATATTTTTATTTTGTAACATTATTTTATTTAGTGATTCCCCATCTAGTAAATACCCTGATAAAAGAAAAGAAAGACCACACACACTTACTTCTCAATAAATCCATCTCTAGTAAAGTATTCATGGCGCAAAAGGTCAGTAGATGATATCCTCTCTGCAGGGTCAATTTGTAAACAAGCCTGGAAAAGTAAGAGGTTTAATAAAAGTTAAGCTTTGGGATCTGCCTCTAAAATTAAGTCTTTAACAGGGTAAAAAATTGATTTGACAAAGTAATTAACCAGAGCTAACAGTTATAAATAATAAAGAAAAAAAAGAAATTTGCCTCGTTTTGTTGCCGTTTTTATCAAGACAGGGTTTCTCTATGTAATAGCCCCAGCTGTCCTGAAACTCACTTTGTAGACCAGGCTGGCCTCCAACTCACAGAGATCTGCCTGACCAGTATGCAGACTTCTAACTAAGTTCTGACCATCTATTTACCTAAGAAATTTACTCTCACAGAACTTTTAAAAGTTATTATTATGTGTCAGCATGTGCATGCCACAGGCACATGCAGAGGCCAGAGAGCAACACTGTTATTGGTTCTCTCCTGTCACCTTGTAGGATCTGGGGATTGAATTCAGGTCAAAGGCCTGTATGAAAGTGCCTCTACCAGCGGCCATCTCACCAGCCAGTGAAACTTTTATTACAGGTTAAAAGTCATATGTTTCTAGACAAAATAAAATCAGCCTTCTTGTGTTGTAATTAACAGAAATTAGGAATTGAGGGTATAGTTTAGAGGGCATACTAGCCCACCATATGCAAGGCTCTGGGTTCAATCCCCCGCATCTCTCTTACACACAAATTGTAATAAAATCATAAAGCTGCATTAAGTTAGCTAAAATAATTTAGTTTGTTTTGCTCCTTCTGTCAGCCCTGTGTGGTGGTGAAGTTCACAGGAAATAATTTACACTGTACAGATCTAGAAGCATCATCAGTGATTTGCCATATCAACTGACCCTAATGCTGCTCCCTTTGTGGTATAAGGCAACTCAGTGAATACTGATGCTCTCATTAAAAGAGAGCATTAAAGCAGCTCTTCCGCGGTTTGAGAGATGGCTCAGTGGTTAAGAGCACTGGCTGCGGGGTTTGAGAGATGGCTCAGTGGTTAAGAGCACTGGCTGCTCTGTCAGAAGACCTGAGTTCAATTCCCAGCACTCAAATGGCAGCTCACAACCATCTATAATTCCAGTCCCAGGGGATCCAACCCCACCTCTGGACTCTGCAGACGACACACACACACACACACACACACACACAGTGCAAATGCATACAGGCAGGCAAAACACCAATATATGCTAAATAAAAGCAATTTAAATAAAATCAATAAATAGCTCTTCTCTGTTTCTGTGCTCTGGCAATGTCTCAGCTGAGGAAACAACTAAAAACCAAAGGCAACTCATGGGACCAGTTGTGAAAAGAAAGCTGCACATAACAATCCATATGTAACTACTTAGACTGTCGTTATAGAGAGCCACTCTTTATAACAATGAAGACAGGATTTGAATAAAAGGCATCTGCTTGGGGGCTGGAGAGATGGCTCAGAGGTTAAGAGCACTGACTGCTCTTCCAGAGGTCCTGAGTTCAATTCCCAGCAACCACATGGTGGCTCACAACTATCCGCTATGAGATCTGGTGCCCTCTTCTGGTGTGCAGATATACATGGAAGCAGAGTGTTGTATAAATAATAAATAAATGAAATCTTAAAAAAAAAGGCATCTGATTTATAAAATACATTCTTCCTCTGAGAAATGACACTTTCCCTGCACTTCTCTACAGTTCACATCACAGCACTGTCATCCTGTCTACATCCAAGGAGACCAAGCCTCCTAAGATCTTCCAGACTTTTAATTTCATTATTTGTTGGGGGAGGAGGTATGCAGATAGCACATGTGTGTAAGTCAGAGGACAACACTGTAGAATTGGCTTTCTCTTTCCACCTTTATGTGGGTTCCCTGGAAGAAACTCAGGTTACCAGGCTTACACCACAAGCCCCTTGACATGCTGACCCCTCTTGCTGGTCCTTGCCTAAGATATATATATTGTTCTGTCAGCACACCAGAAGAGGGCACCAGATCTCATTATAGATGGTTGTGAGCCACCATGTGGTTGCTGTGAATAGAACTCAGGACCTCTGGAAGAGCATCCAGTGCTCTTAACCTCTGAGCTATCTCTCCAGTCCCTTGCCTAAGATCTCAGAAGAACCAGAATTAAAATATGAAAGGTGCCAGGAGGTGGTGGCACACGCCTTTGATCCCAGAACTCAGGAGGCAGAGGCAGAGGCAGGGCATTCTCTCTTGAGTTCGAGACCAGCCTGGTCTACAAGAGCTAGTTCCAGGACAGGATCCAAAGCTACACAGAGAAACCCTGTCTCAAAAAACCAAAAGAAAAAAAAAAATACGTACGTGTGTGTGTGTGTGTGTGTGTGTGTGTGTGTAAGGTGCTTCTGCTCTCATCAACATGCACAGTATGAACTAACAATAGCTCTGCTGTACAACAATGTGCATGGGTTATAACTACTGCTCCTTAAGAATGCTGAAAAGGGCCAGGTGGTGGTAGCGCACGCCTTTAATTCCAGCACTCGGGAGGCAGAGGCAGGTGGATCTCTGTGAGTTCGAGACCAGCCTGGTCTACAAGAGCTAGTTCCAGCACAGCCTCCAAAGCCACAGAGAAACCCTGTCTGGAAAAACCAAAAAGAATGCTGAAAAGGGAGGCTGCACATTACATGTAGAAATTCACCAAGTAAAACTGAGTGTGCTATGTCTGTGTGGTGTATGTGCTCATTTGTGCAGCTGTGTATACACAGGTGGAGACCAAATGTTGATGTCAGGTCTTTATCTCTATCACTCTCCACTTTAACTCTTTGAGATCGTCTCTCACCAGAGGTCAGCAGCTCAGCCACAAAGGCTGGCCAGTAAGGCTGGGGACCCTCTGTCTTTTAGAAGATACTTCATTATATTTGTTCTGAAATTTCAGAAACCACGTTTAAGAACTGCACATCGGGGCTAGAGAGACAGTTCAGGGATTAAGAACTTAGGCAAGTTGGTGATGGTGCAGTCTTTAATCGAAGCACTCTAAAGGTAGAGGTGGGTGGATACTGTCTGGAACACCAATCCCAAGAGATCCAACACCCTCTTCTGGCCCCTGTGGTCACCAGGCACACACATGATGCACAGACATGCAGGCAAACCAGCTATACATATAAATCAAAAACTAAAAGAAAAAAAAAAAAAAAAAAAAAAGAGCTGTATATTAAAAACAAGGACTTTACTACAGTCTAGTTTTTGGGTTTTTTTTTTTTTTAACTCTTTGGGGGCCCACCACCAAGCTCCCAAATAAATACACAGATATTTATTCCACTTATGAATGTCAGGCCTTAGCTTGACTTGACTTGTTTCTAGCCAACTTTTCTAACTTAAATTATCCCATTTCTCTTCTTTTACATTTTGCCTCTGGGCTTTTTACCTTTCTCTATTCTATATATCTTTCTTTCTTACTCTGTGGCTGTGTGGCTGGTTAGCTGGCCCCTGGAAACCTCCTCTTCTTCTCTTCTTGGTCTTCTTTCTTTTTTTCCTATTTATTCTCTCTGCATGCCAGCCCCACCTATCCTGCCTAGCTATTGACCACTCAGGTCTCTATTAGACCAATCAGGTGTTTTAGACAGGCAAAGTAAAACAGCTTTTAGAGTGAAAAAAAAGAAAAGAAAGCAACATAAAAGAATGCAACATGGGGCTGGAGAGATAGCTAAAGGTTAAGAGCACTGACTGCTCTTCCAGAGGTCCTGAGTTCAATTCACAGCAACCACATGGTGGCTCACAACTATCTGTAATGAAATCTGGTGCCTTCTTCTGGCCTGCAGGCATACATGCAGACAGAACACTGTGTATATATATAAAATAAATAAATCTTAAAAAAAAAGAATGCAACACATCTTTGCATCATTAAACAAATATTCCACAGCAGAAACAAATGTAACATATCTTTAACATTCCATAATAATAGTCATCTAGAAATAAGTACCTCACTCCTGGTATAGGAAAGTGGCTAGTTACAGAAATAAGATTTGCTATTCATAGTAAACCCATCTTACATTTTTGAATTTTGTACTGTGTTCATATGACACTTAGTTTAAATACAATTTAAAACTTAAGATAAGAAATAAGGGCTAGGGAGATGGCTCAGTTGGTAAAGTGCCATGTAAGCTTCAGGACCTGAGTTTAGATGTCATGGCTCCATGTACCTGTAACACAGCACCAATGAAGAGGAGACACGTGGATTAAGCTCATTGGCCAGCAGCTCTAGAGTCACTGTAAGGCATGTCTCAATACCCAAGCTGGGTATTGAACTCAGGGCCTCATGAATGTTAGTTAATTATGTACTATATCACTGAACTATACCTCAGAAAGAGATTCTGTCTAAACAATAACAACAAAGCATGGGGAGTTTCAAGGAAGAACACCTGACACCAAGTTCTGGTGGCTTCTAGAGACACATGCATACAAGATGCACCTATGTGCACGCACACTCATACTATAAAATATGTATACTACACACACACAGCACACAAACCAACACACACACACACACACACCCCTCTTAAAATGTTTGTGTTTTCTTGCAGGGTGGTGGTGGCGCATACCTTTAATCCCAGCACTTGGGAGTCAGAGACAGATGGATCTCTGTGAATTCAAGGCCAGCCTGATTTACAGAGCAAGTTCCAGGACAGGCTCCAAAGCTACAGAGAAACTCTGTTTCGACAACAACCAAGAAAAAGTTTGTATTTTCTCTAATGTGTGAATTTGGGTGCTAGTGTACCCTCAGCATTCAAATGGTAACTGCCAACCATTGCCTCTGTAGATAGTTAGGGTAGCACAGGACAAACGAGGTGGTGGGAAACATGGAAAGTCCTTCAAATGTTCCCAATTTACCCCTCAGTGTCTTAAATTTAAATTTCTCTCTATTGATTTCTATGTAATACGTAACATGTTAATATCACTTTAGGAGTCTTTCTGGAATCTCTTGCTGGGAGTGTGGCTAGAATGCTTGCCCAGTTGTGTGCTCCATTTCTAACACCAGAGAGAAGAAAGACTCCATGTTTTTATGATTTCTGCAAATTCTTAGTCATTCTTAACGTCTTAACATACATGAACTATATCTGCCAGCAATCCGTTGAGCTTTGGGTATTTCTTTCTTGCATTTTTTGGGTGTTGAACTTGAGGAAGAACCACCCCGGCAAAGATGGGACTCTTGGAAAAGATATTGTGCAGGTGCGGGGTCAGGTTGCCTGCAAAGAGAAGGAAATGTCTGAGTCACCAAACTGCTCTCAGTTATGAATGTGAGGAAAAGGAAAAACATCAGTTTTTACTTTACAGTTGAAAGAAAAAAAACCTATGCCATAAAAACAAAGGTTCTGGGCTAGGGACACAGCTCTGCAGTAGAGTGCTTATCTAGCAAGTGTGAAGCCTAGGTTCAATCTCCAATTCTGTAAAAAAATTAAATAAATTTTAAAGATTGAGGTTTCCTCCAGTAAGCTGCTGACAGGCAGCAAAATACATAAAACCATATGGTTCTTTTACCCCCCAAACTCTAAGACATATGCAATTACCAGCAAAAGTACTTAATTTTGACATGTTTCTCTACTTGTATCTTTAAGGTTTAACTGTCAAGTGTCCACCAGCCTTACAAACTGAAACCTTACGCAAAACAGCTAAAACAATAAAGCCAGGTGGTGGTAGCATACAACTTTAATCCCAGCACTCAGCAGGCAGAGTCAGAAAGATCTTTAAGTTCAAGGCCAGCCTGTTGTACAGAGCAAACAAAAAACACAGTAAAGTAATTCAGAAACCAAAGTAGTGTATAGAAAAGTGGTTCTCAACTTGAGAGATGACCCCTTGGCATTGTTGAAGGACCACTTCACAGAGGTAGCCTAAAATTATTAGAAAACACAGATATTCACATTACAATTCCTAACAGTAGTGAAATTACAGTTATGAAGTAGCAAAGAAGTAATTTTATGGTTGGGGGTTACTACAACATGAGGAACTGTATTAAAGGGTCGAACCATTAGAAGGCTGACAACCACTGGACTAGAAGAAAGACCACCAGCAGCCCCATGTGCAAAGAACTGTGAACACTAATGGAGACTAGGCTCTGGCACCTTTCCCCACCACCAATAATGTGTCGTGGAGCAAATCTCATCATTTATGGCTTGGTTCCCTCTGTAAGATGACAGGGTTAATGTCATCACCTCCAGGCTCTCTTCTAACACAGTCTCATAACAGGACTTTAAAAAGGCACATAAAGTGGATGCTTTAAGACTCTGTCTGACTTTTATTAATCTTAAATCATCTTTAATCAATGTTAATCCAGGTTTTACTACTTTAATGACTGTTCACAGTACCTTTTTCATCAGAACCTGCAATTATGTGTTTATGAAGAGTTTCCCCAGCACACTTGGGGCTCCTCAAGCTCCTCCTTCAGACTGAAATACCATGTGCAAAACTAACAACCAAAATATTTAGGTAGTTATGGTGATCAGTGTTAATTGTCAACCACCTGGAAACCTCAGGGCTTACCCTAGGGAGTTATCTTGATTGCATTAATTGGCCCACTCCTGTGGATGGTAACTCCCTGGCTGGGTCCAGGAGGAAGGGAGCCAAGCAACATGAATGTATTTGTTATTCTCTGTTCCTGATTGTGGATGTGATGTAATTCAGGTCCTCAAGTTCCTGCCATGACTTCTGCTCCAAGATGGACTGTAACCTGGGGCCATGAGCCAAAATAAACCTGATGGCCCTTAAACTGCTTTATCAGATATTTTATTAGAACAACAGGAAAAACATCTAAGACATGAGTTAAAACAGATTACAAGATAATTAAACTCCTATCAAGTATACTCTTTTTTTTTTTTTTTTAAGATTTATCTATCTATCATGTATACAGTGCGTGCCAGAAGAGGGCACCAAATCACATTACAGATGGTTGTGAGCCACCATGCGATTGCTGGGAATTGAACTCAGAACCTCTGGAAGAACAGTCAGTGTTTTTAACCCCTGAGCCATCTCTCCAGCCTCTATACTCTTAAATTTTTACTTTTCATCAACTATTATTATTGAATAAATTATTTAGTTACATGGTTTTTTACTGTGGGTTTGTGGTGGTTGTTGAAAAAGAAGATGATTGAAGGGGACTGGAAGAGATGGCTCAGGAGTTAAGGTCACTCTGCTCTTCCACAGGACCCAAATTTGGTTCCCAGCACCCACGCCTGGTGGCTTACAGTTGACTGCTGTAACTCCAGCTCCAGGGGATTGGATACCTCTGGTCTCTGGGCTCCAGAACTTAAATGCACACACCCACACACAGACACACACACATATACACCATTAAAACATATCCATCTTAGTAAAAAAGAGAGTAATTTATTAGCAAATAATTGATTTTCTATCTCCAATACTTTTAAAAAGCATCTGACTCAACTTTATTATTGAAAAGCTCTTGTTTAGAAGAGCAAATATTTGGAGAGGCCAACTTTCAATTCTAGAACAGCACAACTTTTAGAAAAGTTGTAGTAATGAGGTTGGAGATTTAACTCAGTGAAGTATACCACTATTGTACTACTTTTCTTAGCAGCAATGATTAACATGTGGCTTTAAGTTTCTCCAAAGAAAATATTATTTGTCACAACAAGTTTCTGCCTTGTTTGTCAGCATGGAAACCCAACTGCCATCACCTGTCTCACAAGGCACTTCCTTAGTATTCATTCCCTAAACATGGGCATCAAGCATAACTGATCTGGAAGCAGTTACTTAGACACATAACAGAGTATTGCAGTAATACCTACCTACTTTTAAAACAATCTTGTGGAGCAAATCCAAATCTGAAGTGCTAGGAAGGTAGGGATTGCCAGTGGCCATCTCAATGATCATACAGCCCAAAGCCCAGATATCCACTGGTCTGAAAAAAAAAACAGAGTAAATTACTTTGTCAGGCACAAATATGTAAGATAACTAGTCTAAAAAAATTTATATCAGATCTCAGCTGAAAAGTAAGAATGTCTGCCAACAGAAGTGGGGAAAAAGAAGAGAAACTAAGGGTAGATGAACATGAGTAAAGTGTTCATGCAAGAAAATGTTGCAATATATGCCATTATGTTATTTGATTACTACCACCCCAAAAGGGGGAAAGCCACAAGTGATGTTGCATGCCTTTAATCCCAGTACTAGGAAAGCAGAAACAGGCAGATATCTGTGGTTTTGAGGCCAGCTTGGTCTACAGATTGAGTGCCAGGCCAGCCAAGGATACACAGTGAGGCCCTGTCTCAAAACCAGGAAGGTGGGGAGTGATAATATTTTTTTTAAAAAAATTTATTTATTATGTATAGTGTTCTGCCTGCATGCATGCCTTCAGGCCAGAAGAAGGCACCAGATCTCATTACATATGGTTGTGAGCAACCTTGTAGTTGCTGGGAATCGAACTCAGGACCTCTGGAAGAATAGCCAGTGCTCTTAACTGCTGATCCATCTCTCCAGCCCCAACGGACAATGTTTAAGTGGTATTAGTCACAAATTTCCACTGTAGGATATTCATTAATTATGAGAATGTGCTTTTTTTGAGCCATCTGGTACAGGACAATTTTTAAAAAAACATTACTTTCTGTCTTTATAAGGAAGGCGTCCCTTTTTCCAAGATACTATTTTAATACAGAATTATAGTAAATGATTGAAGAGTCTTTGGAGGCTCAGCAGGCAAAGGTACCTGCCATTGGGTCTGACAACCTGAGCTTGATCCCAGACACCCACATAGTTGGAAAGAACTGATTCCTGAAAGTTGTCCTCTGATGCCCACATTCATGCCAGGGGCCTCACCCCATTAATAAATATATATTTTTTAACTATTGCAGAACATCAACAGAGGGAAGACAGCACTGCCAGAGGTGTGGCACAGATTAAAGCAAGCCTGGATACAGTGAAAGAACATGTGCATAGGCCTCCAGCAGTTGCAGCCATTCAACACTCTAGTGTAAGCACAGACACTGCTGCCAGTAGCACAGGTGCCCACAGAATCTTCTGGGTACCTGTAAAGGTGTCCCTCTTCTTTGACTAAAGCCAGACACAGACAGCAGAGTGTCAGTAGCAGAAGAAAACTGACACACCAGGGAGAAGTATACATACTTTCCATAAGAGGTGTCTTTTAACACCAGTTCCGGAGCTCTGTACCAGCGAGTGGCCACGTAATCTGTGTAGACATCCCCAGGAGCCGCTAGTGTCCTTGCAAACCCAAAATCACAAAGCTTAGTAATTCCTGACTGGGAGACTAAAATATTTTCAGGCTTTATATCTCGATGGATAATCTAAAAAGAAACAGAAAATTTGATATATTAAAATGGTTTCCTTTTACATAGAATCAAAAACTATTAAGAGAAAAGTCCATCTCACAGCAAAGACAGTGAAGACATTTCCTAATCATGGGTTTAATAGTTACATATTCTCCATCCATCATTGCCAAATGAAATGAAGCTAAAACAGACACTGCAAGTATAAATCTGTTGTGGAATATTACTTGAACTAGATGTGTTGCTGTTTCACCTTGCCTGTCTACGGCACCTGACTGATCTAATAAAAAGCTGAACAGCCAATATTTAGCAGGAGAGGGATAGGCAGGACTGCAGGACAGATGTTTAGATCTGAGTGCTGCTCTGTACTGTGGATACACATTGGATACTGTGGATACTGTGGATGTGTTTCTAAGAAGCATACACCTGCCGGTGGACTTTGAGCTTGTTACTAGTTCAGGCTTTATGAATAATACTGCTGTCAACAGCTTTGTTTTATTTTATTTATTTATTTATTTATTTATTTATTTGTTTATTTATTTATTTTA